CACTGATCTGACAAGAGGTGGGGATTATGCAGTGAAGTGAGCGATGGGGACCGGCTATAAATACAGATGAAGCTTCTTGCCTACTGCTCACTTGCCTACTGCTCACCTCCTGCTGTGCAGCCCGGTTCCTAACAGGCCACAGACTGGTACCAGTCCACAGCCCAGGGCTTGGGGACCACAGCCTTGAGGTACAAGTACCGAAGAACAGAGAAATAGAGAAAAATGAGCAGAAGAAAGGGGTGGCTATTCTACATCTTGGATAATCACAGCAGATCATTTTGTTTTTTTAAACAAGCACCTATATTGCATTTAATTGTATGCTACGCATAGATCTAAGTGCTTTACAAAGAGAAACTAATGCAATCCTATTCTGTGACATTGGTTCTACATATTACTAACCCTTTTACACACAAGGTAAGAGGCACAGAGAGGTTAAGCAAGGTGCCCAAGATCACACAGCTAGAATTCACGTCATGACTTTAACTGTATATTTATGAGTAAAAATTTAAAAATTATTCATTACATTCTAAAACTTTAGAAACTGGAGTTCATTTTCATTAACATTTATAAAAACTATTCAGAATATGTAATACTAGTTCTGATTTAAAGGGTGACTTTCTTAGAGACCAGGCAGAGTCCTTTACAGGTACAGGCTTAATGCTCACTACCGCCCCGTGAGCTGGGTGTTATGATTCCACCTCAAACATGGAGAAACAGAAGTGATTTGTGTAAGACCACACCGCTCAGCTAGTTGATGGGAGATTCAGGATTCAAAACTGACTCCAAAGATGTTGGTCTTTTCCAGCCCGAATGCTAACAGGACTCTAAGATCCTCTAGCAATAAAAGTGAAGGCATCTGTAGGAATATGGAAGGGGAAAAAAAGAAAAGAGTAAAAAAAATTTATAGAAATTAAAAAAAAAAAAAAAAAAGAAAGAAAGAAAAGTGAAGGCAGAATCCAAACCACATAAGTCAGTCTAGCTCATGGTTTCTAGAAACTAAAAGTGCCTTGCTGGAATTCTCAAGCAGTGGCAAGTGACTGGGGCTTGGAGAGTCACCTGGGACCCTTTGATGAGCCTGTACTTTCTGGTAAGTGATCACTTCTGGCGTCTGGGATAGGGCCCCTCATTGTTGTCACCTTCCTCTTAACCCCATTGTTAGTCTCTGTCCCTTCTCAGTTTCTGCCCTTGGCTAAGTTTTCTCTTTCCTGGACCTTCGAGTGGCAGGATGTAGAGGTACAAGACTTGGCCTCTTCCTTCCTTTCTCTAAGCATATAAATCCCTTTGTGGGGTTTTCTACCCCTAGTAACTACATAGCACATTGTAAAGCTGTAAGAACTCTTACTACCTTGCACTTCTGGTCTTTAATAAAACAAAAGTGGACCTCAAGTTCATTGTTCTTTTGTCCTTTTCTGGCTTTCCTCTTAGTCTTTCAGGGATCCAAAATCACCTAATTACTACACTCTCCATAAGGAAGCCTCAGTCTTCTATTTCCATATTTTTTCTGTAAATTTCAGAATGAATATTTTTTGATAAGTGTTTTCCTCCCTTTCTTTTGTGTATTCTTTTGAGAACCTCCATTTTAAAGATTAGATACAGTTTTGGATAATAAAGTAATGTTCACCCTTGAACCTATTCTACACATTTTTTGTAATAATTTCAAGCCACTGATCTTTTCTCTCTAAAATGATGTTTCTTCTATTTTTCTACTCCTTGTACATGTGTAAGCTCCTTCTCCCTGACCCCACCCCCACTAGTTATCTAATTTATTGTTCCAGTCATTCATTCTGGGTTATTTATTGGGTACTTACTATCCTAGTGCCTAGTGTGTTAGTCACTAGCGTTGTAAAATAAATGACATTGTCCTTTATGCACAAAGTTTCTAATTCTACTCCTGAAATTTTTCAGAGTCTCACTCTGTTGCTCCAGCTAGAGAGGAGTGGTGTCATTATAGCTCACTGCAAATTAAAACTCCTGGGCTCAAGGGATTTTCCTGCCTTAGCATCCCTAGTATCTGGGACTACAGGTTCATGCCACCATGCCCAGCTAATTTTTTCTACTTTTTTGTAGAGATGGATCTTGCTTTTCCTCCGGATGGTCTCAAACTCTTGATCTCAAGTGTTCCTCCTGCCTCAGCCTCCCAAGAGTGCTAGGATTACAGGCTTGAGCCACCATGGCTGGCTTCTCCTGAAACCTTTATTAGTGACTTGTCTGACTGAGAAGTCACTCGTTGATCTCTGCTGCCCCCTTGTAAAATGACGAGCTTGTATTTAGTGATCTCATAATTTTAAAGCCTCTCAAATCAAAGGATGTAGGAGATTTGATTTATTGTCTTAATCCAATCATGAAATTGCTCAGTGCCTTTGAGCACAGTGTACAGTCTCTGGATCTCAGTCTCCCCCTCTATAAAATAAATGGAAGGTACTAGAGCAGGTTTGAAAAAGTATCCAAGGAAACTTTGTTCATAGACTTTGCTAGGAAAAGAAGGTGCTGTATTCAAGAAGGTCTAGAAAATGCCGGAGTCAATAGGTTTCTTTAATCCAAGACTTCTCAGAAACTTTACTATGTCAATTTTGCTTCATGACTCTCCAAGTGAAAAATAGCAGATGTTTCCCAAACTTATTTGACAATGGAAACCCTTTTCCCAAAAGCATCTTTGTAGACTAATAATGTCTTACTATATGCCTTCTAAAGCCCTTTATTGCAGAAATACTATCTATTTTTAAATCAAATTCATGTAATAAATATCCGCCAGTTTAAGTTCTAATATAACTGTGTTCTGTGCATAGTACTGTTTCCTTTTTCTCTTCAAGTTATGCTTTTGATGCTGTTGGTACAAGAGCTATAATCTCATCAATCCTGGGTACATGGCCTGCAAAAGCATACATCTCATTAGCACTTTGGACAATAGTGTCCAGAACAAGTACATAGTCTATTTTGCAGAGAAACATTCCACAGAGCAGCACAGTGGGGGCTCTTTGGAGGAAAGGGATGAAATAAATGAACACCAAAAACAACACCATTAATAGGGAAGATTTTCATGAAAACACACAAAAAATTTGACATTTTGATGAGTAAATAACATAGTCTTTCCTGTAGCAGGACTGCTGTTCCCAACCAAGACTGTTAGGACTCAGAGAAACAGAGCTGAGTGGCTCAATGTAAAAGTCTGTGTTCAACATCTGTCATGCTGGAGATCATTAATGTTCAATTGCTTCCTATTGTCTTCATGTTATTCAACTTCATTTCATTGTCATTGCTTCAGCTGGGGATTAATCAACTATTTATGGGAAGACAAGACCTGGAGTCAGGGCAGTCACAATGGGGTTACAGTCTGAGGCATTGGTGGGGAAGCAAGTCATGGTTAAAAGACTCCTGATTTGTTAGAGTTTGTTGATAACTTAATTAAACAAACATATTTTAGAATAATGCTGAAATTATCCATATTTCAAAAGGAGAAGAAACATACTGGTCTTCCTGAAGAATCCAGAAATGAGTCTGCACTGAGTCTATTTGGAGCTGGTTTCTTCACACCTTGATTCCTCTTAAGAGCAAGAAACAAGCTGAGATAAGAGAATGAAATTAATGGTTTCTCTGTAAAAATCAGATCCTTGTTATCAATAGTGGAAATCATACTTCCTTATTGTTCCTGAGGACAGTTGACACAACTGAAATATCTAAGTAGTATGAAATATTTTCAGCTTTATGAGGTGGGCTAAAATATTCCATCAGGAATTAGTTTTAAAAACCTCACATTACTTAGATGTTTTCATTTTGCACATATATGTGTATTATGATTAGTTTTATTAGATTTAAATGTCAAATCTAAGTGATTAGTTATCATCTCAGTGTATGTCCCACAAACATTTATAAACCTGTGTCAGGGGAAATGAAGTATAAATCCTCATGCAATCCAATTATATAATTAGAATAATATAAAGTTTTTATATACATATTAATATATTTTGATATGTTATGACAAGTTATTTCACATAAAATAGCCAAATTATTCACAGTAAAATACCGGGTCTGCAATATTAGGAACTGCTAATTTGTCCCAATTTACTTAATAGCTAAAATAAAAATGCCACTATATTAGTTCAGCATTATGCAAAATTGTTACACTTCTCTATAAAGCTACATCTTCTTACACTAAACTTCTGATATACCTCATAATGCCAAAACCAACATCTTCAGACAAATTATTCCTCATAATTTCAAAACCTCCGTTAAGTTTTTGATATGTAAGCTGCCTGCCGATATGGGAAAAGATAGATCAAGCTTCCCCTCACACCCCCCACCTTGTTATTTTTTTAGGGACAGCCAGGCCACTCCAGATGGTGTGTTAGTTAGTGTCGGGCATAGCTTTGGAGAAACTTCAACAGACTGAGGCTGTAATGTCAGGATTTTGCTGTGCGTCGCCCCCTCCCCCCCGCAGTTCCCAGGGTAGGAAGGTGCTGAGATGGAAGCCGAGGGACGCCCGCCCACCTGCCACCACCTGTTCCCTCCTCAGGCCTCTGCTATAAATTCTCCTCCCTCGAAGATTCACCCAGCACTCTCCGACAGCTACTGCGCTAAAAGCGCTCCTTCCCCTGTCTGAGCTTCGGGGAAGATTTCATCTTCCTGAAAAGGAGTCTCGGGCTTTCCCAGAGGACTTGAAAGGCCTTCCCTGCACCAGCCACACCAAACTCTGCCGTAGGAAGCTTTCCTTCTCCTTTTCAACTTCACCTTGAGCAAATGGCTTTCCCTTGAACTGAGGGGAAAGTTTCCCCTCAACTGGGGCAAGGGAAGAGACATCAGCCCGGTTATCCAGTAGGACAGAAGGCCGAGTCCCGCACCGGCCCCTGTAAACTGTCTGACTGCACGTGAGTTGCTCTGTTTATGACTTATTTGCCAAGAAGAGCCACGCTGGGAAGCGGCCCGACGGAGAAGCCCACGCGCGGGTGCCGAGCGGCCGGGCGGGCTCGGCGCCTCGCCGCCGCCGCCGCCGCCTCAGGCCGGGCATGAAGTCCTGCAAGCCCAGCGGCCCGCCGGCGGGAGCGCGCGCGGCATGCCCGTGCGCGGCGCGGCGAGTGCGCGGGCTCGTGCGCCGGGGCCGGGCGGCTGGAGAGCGCGGCGCGCAGGCGCCTGGCGGCCAACGCGCGCGAGCGCCGCCGCATGCAGGGGCTCAACACGGCCTTCGACCGCCTGCGCCGGGTGGTGCCGCAGTGGGGCCAGGACAAAAAGCTGTCCAAGTACGAGACCCTGCAGATGGCGCTGAGCTACATCATGGCTCTGACCCGCATCCTGGCCGAGGCCGAGCGGTTCGGCTCGGAGCGGGACTGGGTGGGTCTCCACTGCGAGCACTTCGGCCGCGACCACTACCTCCCGCTCGCGGGCGCGAGGCTGCCGGGCGAGGGCGAGCCCTACGGCCAGAGGCTCTTCGGCTTCCAGCCGGAGCCCTTCCAGATGGCCACTTAGGGCGCGAGAGGTGCCCGGTGCTGAGGGGTGCCGCCCTGCCCCTCGTAGCCCAGGGGCTGTCGGGGTCCCACAGAGCCAAGGATGCTTTCCTCCAGTGTAATTAGTAAACTTTCAGGTTACCTGTATTCGCAACATCAGACCTACGGACACGATCATTTTATTGCCTTTCTTCTCCCCTCCTCTGTATTTTGTAGATGTCATTACTGGATCTTGTGAATGGTTTTGATTGCTGTGAACGTAATGTCCCCTTCCCCTTTTCTGGGCTACTTTGAGGGAAGACAGTCTTTAAAAAAAAATAATAAGATTAGGCTATTCTGCTGTTCCAGTCCTCAGAGAAATAATCACTTTCTTAAACTTCGTAAGTTTGTCCTGTTCCGGTGAAGTTATAGTATCCATTACTTGTGTATGCTCAAAACAGAGCTACCTTCCTGTTGTGTAAATGCATTCACCCTTAGTGCATTGTGTGTGCATGCATGATGTAGAGTCAGACTACCCTTTGCTTGGTAGAGTACATGGGCATGAGCGCTCTGTATTTTTTTAAACTGTGTACACACTATTAAAATATAGATTTTGTAAGATATAATGAAAACGTGGGTTTGTTTTTCATGCCAGGTGCGCTACTAGTTTCCTGATGGCACTAAAGGCCTATTTTGAGGGTGATGATATAAAGTGTTTCTGAGTAAAGATGTGGAATGTTTAAAACTAATTTACACCGATTGGCAAATGTGCTGTTTTTGTAATATTTCCTCAAAAAGCTGATGAGAGTATAAATAATTAACTTGAAAGTTTTCTGTGTCAACGTGGAAATATAGATATATTTTTGTGATTTTTTAAAAAGATTAAATTGAGATATTAATAGCTTTTAATGAACTAGATATGCAGTTCTTCAGTCTTTTATTTTCTCTATTAAGCAAGTTACTACTAATTCTTTACAAGTACCCAAATATATGTTTTTTTTTTTTTTTTTTGAGACAGAGTCTCACTCTGTTTCCTGGGCTAGAGTGAGTGCCTGTGGCATCAGCCTAGCTCAGAGCAACCTCAAACTCCTGGGCTCAAGTGATCCTCCTGCCTCAGCCTCCCGAGTAGCTGGGACTACAGGCATGCGCCACCATGCCCGGCTAAGTTTTTCTATCTATATTAGTTGGCCAATTAATTTGTTTCTATTTATAGTAGAGACGGGGTCTCTTTCTTGCTCAGGCTGGTTTTGAACTCCTGACCTTGAGCAATCCGCCTGCTGTGGCCTCCCAGAGAGTTAGGATTACAGGCGTGAGCCACCACACCTGGCCCAAATATATGTATTTATTCCTATATCTATATAGGAATTTATATATACATATATACACACATATAGGAATAAGTATATGTATTTCTAAAACTAACACAAATAAAAATATTGCTCTTGGAATACCATCAAGGCTAATCAAAATGGGAACAAAATAATATATGTGGTATTGGTTTGAATTACTTTTATTAGTTTGCTTTACCATTGCATGAATAAACGTAGCCCTTAATGTCAAGAGTGACTTGGCGGTGAACAGGATTGCCTGCATTTGGGAGAAAGTCTTACTCATAATTAGGAAAAGCAGGACTCTTAAGTTATCTGTGCATTTGGAATTTGTCACAAGTCAACAACAACAACAACATTTCCCAAATCCTTTTTCATGGATTCTAAAACACAACCTCAGACCCAGCCTCCTATTTGTAATTTATCTACAGAGTGGTCATTAACATTTTTATTTTCTTAGTTATCTTTATCAAAATCCATTTGGTTCGTAATGAAGGAAAGTATCTTCCCTAGCCCATACATACACTTAAACTTAGAAAATCACAAGTAGATCTCCAGAAACCCCTTGGGAAATTGAAGCTGACTTTCCTTTCTGTCTGATAGCTGTAAATAAGAAACTGAGGAGGGTTCAGGGCTTTGCTTCTTTACTGTAGATTTGATAGCAAAATGTTTAATCTCTTGACTCCAACAGCTCTTAGAAGATGTTGTGTAGTCCAGCAGGCAAACAACACAATTCTAGAAGTGATGAAGCCAAGAGTCTCTGGTCACCCTCCACTCTGCAGTGTGTATTTGGTCAATGGCAAGATTACAGGCATTTGCCTTACTGACTATATAAGCACACTAGTCTACTTATTTACACCTTCTAAAAAGCTTCGTCAATAACCTCAGCAAGTTTGTAGAGTTTGAGAATGACCAAAATCAGTGCTAAAAAAATGTATTCCTCAGAGAAGTTCTCAAAAATGTATTAAGATCATTAGTCATTTTTCAGATAGGGTGTCACATTCCCTTCTCTGGACTGTAAATACCTTAAGAAAGAGAACCATACTTTTCATTATATCTCTGTGGCTTCTAGTACAGGGACTTGCGCAGGAAAAACAGTCAACAAATATTTCAATTTTGGCTGTTAACTTGACAGCACTTTCTTAATGAAATCAAACAATTTAATTAAAATGATGGGATTCTAATCCCATGCCTCTTCTTCCCTAACCTCACTCCTCCAGAAGAATGGGAATCAGCCTGTTAAATATTATGCCTTTGGCTGGCTGCTTCTGTGTTTTGGAAATTTTTGGAAGCAACTTAGCTCTTACCAAATTCCTAAGCTTTCTACTCCACTCAATGTACTACTTTTTTCCAGAAAGACATTGAGGGAAAAGTAAATGGGTCACAGTGATCAAATTCAATCATGGATATAACTCTTCAAACTGTATGTTGGGATATCCCTCATGGTTTATGAAGGAGGAGCTCAGATAAAGCCTTTTTGAAGTCAAGATTCATATATATATATATATATATATATATATATAAAATAGAGTTTAGATTGCCAAGCATCCCCAAAGTTGCCACAATATTTTATACTGTTCACCATTGAAAATCCGTTTTCTTTCTAATTTGACAACAGGACATATCAAAATTCAAAAAATATTCTTGTCCCTGAGTTCCCTTTTCTCAACAAATCAACACATATTATCAAGTACCTATTTGTACCCAGGCTCACACAACACTATCCCTGCCCTTGTCTAGGTAGCCAAAAAAACCCACACACATACAAATCAATAAATAGTACTAAACAGAGTATAGCTGAATCCTTCAATAGTGTAGTCCCAGTGATATGTGCCATAAGAGCTCCTAAGAGTGGGTATTACATAATAAAGGAACACCTCCCCTCGCAGGGTTTCGGTTTGACTAGCCATCTGTACAGACTTTCCCTAGGTGCGAACTAGAGGTTGAGGTTCCAAACCCCAAGCTCAGAAGTGTTGAAGAAGCTCATACAAGTGAACAAGGCTATCAAGATGGGAAAGGCCACCTAAGCCAGTGGTTCTCAACCCTGACTACTCATTAGAATCATACCTAAGAAGTCTTTAAAAAAAACCAATCCTTCTGGGAGGCCGAGGCGGGAGGATTGCTCGAGGTCAGGAGTTCGAAACTAGCCTGAGCAAGAGCGAGACCCTGTCTCTACTATAAATAGAAAGAAATTAATTGGCCAACTAATATATATATAGAAAAAATTAGCTGGGCATGGTGGCACATGCCTGTAGTCCCAGCTAGGATTGCTTGAGCCCAGGAGTATGAGGTTGCTGTGAGCTAGACTCTAGCCCCGTCACTCACGCTAGACTCTGTAACAAAAAAAAAAACAAAAAAAAAAAAAAAAAAAAACCAATCCTGGGGCCCTCACCCCAAGAACTGATTCAACTGTTCTAGGGTGGGACCTAAGCATAGTTTTTAAACACTCCCCAGGTGATTTTAATGGGCTTCCAAGGTTGAGAAACATTTAATTAAACAGTATCTATTATGACACCATTAACCTCATTACCCCAAACTGGTTATATTGACTTCCTATTCTTTTTTTTTTAATTTCAAAATATTAAGGGAGTACAAATATTTTTGTTACATGTTTCGCTTTGTAATGCTTAAGTCATAGCTATAAATGTGCCCGTCACATGAATAGTGTTCATTGTACCTGTGAAGTAGGTTTTTGACTGTCCCCTGCTCCCCCTCCCTCCTGCTTGATTTTCATTAAGTTTTATTAATACTTCCCTCTGTGCACATCCTATTCTTTCTATTTGCCAATCTTAAGAAGGACCAGGCTATCTTTCCAAACATCCAGCATAGCCAGTTTCTTAGTTAATGAGTTGAACTTTATACTAATGAAGATTTAAAATTTCTGCTAGATATGGGCCAGATGGGTATATTTTGGTTGTAGTTAATAAAGCTGCAGGATTCAATAATTAAGGCTCAATTCGCTTAAATTTTGCCATGTTATAATAAAAACAAAGTGCTGTTTTTGGACTGAATTTGGCTAGCATCTGCTCTCTGCCTATGTTTCACTAAAGATATCTCTCTTAGATACCTATGAGTGAAAGAAATTTCAAAGTGCATATAAGATCCTAAATATATGACCCATCTTCTCACATGTATACCCATTCCCCTCTCTGATTATAAATATGCTAGTCGGTACACACTTTAGTATTTATTGAATTAACATGGGACTTTTGGATTGCTATTTCAAATTGATAGAGTATCCCTAAAATACCTGAGCTGAAAGAAAACAATAGTCCTGCATTGCTTAACCACGGGGATACATTCCAAGAAATGAGTTTAGGCGATTTTGTCATGCGAACAACATGGATCACACACAAACCTAGATGGTATAGCCTACTACACACCTAGGCTGTGTGGTATAGCCTAATGCTCCTTGACTACAGACCTGTACAGCATATTCCGCACTGAATACTGTAGGCAATTCTAACACAACGATAAGTATTTGTGTATCTAAATATATCTAAACATAGAAAAGGTACAGTAAAAATACAGTATAAAAGATAAAAGATGGTACACCTGTATAAAGCACTTACCATGAATGGAGCTTGCAGAACTGGAAGTTACTCTGGGTGAGTCAGTGAGTGAGTGGTGAGTGAATGTGAAGGCCTAGGATGTTACTATCCACTACTGTAGACTTTATAAACACTGTACACTTAGGTGACCCTAAAATTTATTCCAAAACTTTTTCTTTCTTTAATAATAAATTAACCTTAGCTTACTGGTAATATTTTTATTCTCTCAATTTTTAAGTTTTTAAATTTTTTAGACCTCTTTTTTAAAAT